CAGAACACACAAGTAGAGAGCAGTCTAAAATCCAACAGACAACCAAGCAACCAGCTTCTAAAAGGGAGATAAAAGGCAAAAAGCTTTTCCCGTATGGATCAAGACACTATATAGACTTAAATGCTCTGATACCACACATAATTTTGCATATTCTCTTAATCCAAATTAAGATTTAGTTTCTAGCAGTTGAATACGGATTGACTGATTTAGATTCTAGTTTAAACAGTCACGCGGAAGGTTAATGCAAAAAGTACGTAAATCAACACATATGATTGTTTACCCAGTTCGATACAGTGTGTATCTACATCTGGGGGATGATCACCGATACGTCCAATCCACTAACTCATAATCCAATGTACAAAGGAAGAGAAAAAAAATCTCACCCAAGTGCCCCACACAAGGTCAGTACCCAGTCTACAAAGGTTTAGTGGATTGTTGAAGTCGGAGAGCCACGCATTCAAAAGTCCAATGAAATCCCTTCAATTGGAGAGCTAACTCTGATGCAGTCCGCTTTAATAACACAGTCCCACACTGTTCCTACAACTGAGTGATCTTCGCGACCTATAAATTAAGCAATGTTGATGCTTCTCAAGTTATTCTTCGCAATCACCAAGAACGCATAGTCTTGAGAAGAGGCATGACAACCAGAGATGTATATTCTGTTTAGTATAGAGTGTTGCGGCTTCACTCAATGCAACCCTAACTTCTGAGCGAATAAGAATATATGTACTTCTTTGATTTGGACACTCTCCAAATATATCTCTGATCGTAGATGGTAGGACTTTTTGTGAAGAAAGAAATCTTAAGATTCGATCCATACCTCTTAAGCTGATTCGCTGATATTCTTTCCAAAACTATCATTTCATAACCGTGTTCCATGTTTTAGAAACCTTCCTTTATTAGATCTTTGGTGGCTTGACCAAGCGGCGCGTCTGTTGGTTGTATTGATCAATCATTCATCTTCTGGAGCAAAATAGACACCAAGCTAAACTCTATCTTAATTTGCCATAATAATATTGTCAATTATATGTTGGGGTTTTTCTAAAAAAAAATGCACTAACAGGGACAATTTAGTTGTCAGAAGATCTAGTTCTATTCAATGTTCTCTGTGTGCCTATCTTTCACTGCAACTTAATTTCCTTGGGTGAACTTACAAGGAGATCCATGTGACACCCCATAAATCCAAACACTAATCAAGGATTAATTGAAGAATTAATCCAAGTTTCCTTGCTAATCTATTTCTAAAATCCTGAAATTTAATAGTCGATGGACTAGATTTTGACTAGTCACTTAAGTCAAAGGGTTGTACATTGTGCTTCTTGAGTTGTGCCTTTGTTCCCTTGTCTTTCCAACATTAGTAAGGGTAGAAATGTCTTTCTACCAAAAGTTTGTGATTCAAGCTAACCTAGCAAGACTCTTTCATTTCATTCACCCTTCAACCTAAAACACAAAAACTCTAGTCTCTCTCTAAAATGATTTAGCTTCTCCAAGCTATAATTTGAGCATCCAAGTCTTGCAAGATTTTCTCCCAAGATTCCTACTTTCTTCATCTTGAGCATAGGGGAGGGTAAGATCCTTGGCTTTTTGGTGTTTCTAATATCCTTTTAGGTGTCTTTTTCTAAAGTTAGGATCTTTGTTGTGTTTTGTTATGTGTAAGAAGTTGGTGTGGAAGAGCAGCTCTAGGAAAGGCTTTTAAGGGTGGATAAGTGAAAGTTGTACGGCTACAAAGGTAGCCCATGCTTTACAAAACCTATTTTCTTACTTATATGAAGATTCTTGGCTTCTACTTGTGATTCTTGTGTTGATTTGTGAGATTTGATGCATGTTTAGAGCTTGTTCTTAGGGTTCTTGAATGCCATTGCTTGGTTATTTCTTGGGTTCAAGTCATATTGTTGTTGTGTGTGAGATTTTGGGTGTTTTGGACTTGAACTTGGCTGTGTTGTTGGAAATCCCCGAAGGGATATTTTTGGTGTACATGTACATACCCGCGGGCGGAACGACGGGCAGAGGCCTACCCGCCGCCCCACCCGAGGGGAACGTTGTTGGCGACGTGCGGTGATTTTTTCCCCGTGATTCTTTTGTCTCGGTATTGATGTTTTGACCTCCCGATGTTGTTTTATTGGGCAATTTGTGAGTCTTCTTGATGTTTTGTATGTCTAGAACGGTATGTTAGGAATCCATGTAGGATTTGGTGTCTTGAATCGTACTAAGGGTCCGAATTTGTGATTTGTTGGGCTATTGTGAGTCTTGAATGTTCTATGGAACTATGTTTGGTTTACCCGTTTGATAAGCATGCTAGTTTCATGTTGAAATGCTAGTATGTGCAGTTTGTTCCTTCTTATTGGGATTAGCAACCCTTGTTGACAATCATTTGGTGTTGGATTGTGATCCTTCGTTGTTGAGTATGGTCTCATGTCTTTGTTGTGATCTATTGATTGATTCCTATGATATGAACATATGTAAATCGTTGTACCCTTGATTGATACTTGGTTGAGGCTATTGTTGAGCCTTAGTCTTCTTGGTAATGATGATGATCTTGTGTGACTATGATTGTGATTGGTGGTGTGTATCTGAGCTTGGCTCACATGTTGGAGGCTGTGTGAATGAAATTAATGGTACCCTCGTGTACTGAGAGTTCGGTGGTATGTTGGAGGTAAAGGTTGGAACTGTAATAAGGTCGGGGGTAGCCATAAGGTTGGAACTATGATACTTGTGACATGTAGTTGTCACCGTGTGAATGTGATTCCTTGCCTTTGAGCATGTCTTGGTGTACTCTACTTTGTGATCAGTAGGGTGCATCCTGAGTTGTGAGTCTCTCAAGTTTGTGGTCTTATTGTATTGTGAGGATGAAGATCCTCATCTCTCTTGTGAGTGATTGTTGAGTCTTTGAAGTTGATTTCCCTCCTTGGTTTTGAAATGATATATATTGTATTCCTGTTTCAAATGGTTTTGATTATATCTATCTATATATGTTATTTAACGCGTATTGATGGGTTACCAGCAATATTCGGGCTGATTGGGTGTTATCCCTTTATTCTACAGGTTTTGAGTAGATGCTGAGAGCGCTAGATAGATTAGCTACCATGTTTAGACGTTATCTTTTGTTGGCTTGTGAGCTTAGTTTAGCGGCCTGTGTGCCTAGACACTTTATGTTTTGTTGACTTGTTAGTTTTCCCGCCTGTGCACCTATGTTTGAGATAGGTGTGGCATAACACTTACCGATTTTATATAGCTTCTGCTTGCTTTATGTCTTGATGTTTAGATGTTTACCTTGAATTTACGTTTTAAATATGTGGTAAATCAGGGGTGTTACAATCCAAGTGTAGCATCTTGTTTCACTCTAACAAATGTATTATACAGGATCAACTCCATGGGAGGATGATTGGGGTGGCTGAATTGAAGAAGAGACTTTAACAACTTGATCTCACTGCCTTCATTCTTTGTAAACCTACTATAAATAGTTGTAGTTTTTGGCATGCTAGATTGGGACATGCCTCAGAAGGCAAGATTAGATTTCTACATTCCATTGATAATACAATCTGTAATGACAAACCAAATGTATGTGATTGTTGTCATTTTTCCAAGCAAAGAAGATTGCCTTTTAAACCTAGCACTAATATCTCAGATAACTGCTTTGATATTATACATGTTGATATTTGGGGACCCTATCAAACCCCCACTGTTTATGGACACAGGTATTTTCTCACCTTAGTGGATGATCACAGCAGGGCTACTTGGGTTTATCTGATGAGGTGGAAGAGTGAGGTAAAGCAGCTGTTACAAGATTTCTGTGAGCTGGTTAACACACAATTTGGCAAAATTATTAAATGTGTGAGGTCTGACAATGGGAAGGAATTCTTCTAGAAAGAAATCTATCAAACCAAGGGTATCATTCATCAAACATCATGTATATACACTCCTCAACAAAACAGCATTGTGGAAAGAAAACATGGCCACATCTTGGCAGTGGCTAGGGCTCTCAGAATTCAAGCTCATCTACCTAAGCATTTTTGGGGTGATTGCATCCTTCATGCAGTATACATTATCAACAGACTTCCATCAGTTGTTCTAGACAACAAGATACCTTATCAAATCCTTTTTGGCAAGGTGCCATAGTATCAACATCTAAGAGTTTTTAGTTGTCTAGCCTTTGCAGTTGCTCCTAGCTGTCAAAGGAACAAATTCTCTCCAAGAGCAAGAAAATGCATTTTCTTGGGCTTTGCTAATGGAGTAAAGGGGTACAAGTTGTATGATCTACACACCAAAGAGGTGTTCTTATCTAGGGATGTTTGCTTCTATGAAAGTACTTTTCCCTATCAAAGCAAATAAAGTGCACAGGACAATGAAAACAGCCTGGGAACTGACCTTATTTTACCATCTGAAGGGGTAACTTATTTAGACATTGATGAACAGGTGCAAGAAGATTTCATCAGTCCAAATGATCAGCATCAAGGCCAAGAGGACACTGATGTCAAAGCTCAATCTGAAACCCTAGTTCAAATAAGGGAGTTCAGTACAGAACCAGTCCCTGCACCCCCAGTTCAAGTAAGGGAACCAAGAAGGTCTACCAAAACCAGGGCCACTCCCACTTATCTTGCTGACTACACCTATCATAATGCCACTGTAAAAAGGACATCCCCACATGCCATTTATTATGTTCTATCTTATGACAAGTTATCTCAAAATTTTAAGGCTTTTGCAGTAAATGTCCTGATAACCAAAGAACCCAATACATACAATGAAGCTATAAATGAAGGATGTTGGAGAAAGGCTATGGAGGATGAAATCAATGCTTTGGAGGCCAATAACACATGGAGACTGACAGAACTTCCTCCAAACAGAGAGCCCATAGGCTGCAAATGGGTGTACAAAACCAAGCTTAAAGCTGATGGCACCATAGAGAGACACAAGGCTAGGCTGGTTGCAAAAGGGTACACACAAACTCATGGCCTGATTATCTGGACACCTTCAGTCCTGTTGCAAAAATAACCACAATAAGAATGCTACTGGCATTGGCTGCTATTAAAGGATGGACTCTACACAAACTAGATGTGAACAATGTTTTTCTTCATGGTGACCTAGTTGAAGAAGTCTACATGAAACTCCCTCCTGGATTTACTCCTCAAAAACCTAGTCAGGTGTGCAGATTAATAAAAAGCCTCTATGGTTTGAAACAAGCAAGTAGACAGTGGAATATGAAGCTGACTCAAGAGTTGTTACATATGGGTTTCAGGCAAGCTCTATCTAATTCCTCTCTATTTCTTAAAGTTGAAGGAGATAGTTTTGTAGCTCTACTTGTCTATGTTGATGATGTTGTGATAGCAAGTCCAGATTCAAATCAAGTTCAGCAGATCAAAAGGCATTTAGACAATATCTTTCATATTAAAGATTTATGCCCCTTGAAGTTCTTTCTTGGGTTAGAGATTGCAAGGAATAGCTCTGGAATTTCCATGACACAAAGAAAATATGCATTAGAACTCTTAGAGGAAATAGTATTTACAGACTGCAAGCCAGCAAAAACACCTATGGCTACCTCAGCTAGGTTCAGCAAAGACATTGTTGAAAAACTTGAAGTTGTCTCTCAATATAGAGGGCTTGTGGGAAAGCTATTGTATCTAACAATCACAAGGCCTAACATTAGCTATGCCACTCAACAATTATCTCAATTTTTAGATTGTCCTACCAACATACATATGCAAGCCGCTCACAGAATTATAAGATACATTAAGGCAGCTCTAGGTCAGGGTCTCTTCTTCTCAGCAAAGTCTTCCTTACAGCTGAAGGGATTCACTGATTCAGACTGGGTTGCTTGTCCAGACACCAGGAGAGCACTCACTGGATTTTGCATATTCCTTGGCACCTCACTGGTATCTTGGAAATCCAAAAAGCAGGTCACAATCTCAAGGAGTTCCTCTGAAGCTGAATACAGAGCTTTAACATCTACAACATGTGAAATTCAATGGCTTCTATACCTTCTGCAAGACTTAGGGGTTATTGAAAATCCTTCAGCTTCATTGTGTTTTGACAACAAATCTGCCATTGCCATAGTTGAGAACCCTGTGTTCCATGAAAGAACAAAACCTATTGAGTTAGATTGTCACCTAGTAAGGGAAAAGCTACAAAAAGGAGTCCTAAAACTTCTACATGTCTCCACCTCTAATCAGCTTGCAGATGTCTTTACAAAACCCTTGCACGGAATAGTTTCCATGATATTATTTCCAAGCTTGAGCTACATAATATGTATCTTCCAGCTTCCGGGGTGGGAAGGGGGGGTTGTGAACTCATACAACAGGTCAAACAAGAAGTCAAGTCACGAAGATTTAGTTGAAGATTAGTTTGTTAGTTACAATCAGTTAACAGTATTTTACTTTCTACTTCTGCAAATCAGTTAGTTAGCTAGCTTGTATATAGAGCAGACAGCTTCCCTCTATAATATGATTTTGATATTTTTCATTCAATACACTTTCACATTCACCTCTTCTTCCCCAATTCTTATCTACGGAAAATCCAACAGACGGACAGACGGTGGATGGCATCGTCGACGAGAGTGGTGGCGGCGCTGGGTGGCAACTAAGGGCGGTTGGCGTTACAGTGAGGTGCGGTGATGGCGTCACGATTGAGGACGACGGCGGAGCGGGCGAGCCTCCTTTCTCGGCGATGCTGCTTCTGTTTCTTCTCGGCGCCGCACTGGAGGAGAATACTCAACACTTCTGGTTTGAGAAAGGATGAAAAAGGAATGGGTAGGGCTTAGGCCCAAACCCGAATAGCCCCTATCAGTTTTTTCATTCACTGTGAGTCTATTTTTAGTTATTTTGGGCCTGCTTAATTTTCTTTAATAGTTCCTTTATTTCATTTGGGTCTTTAGTTTTTTTTTTTTTTTCCAAATGAATTATTTTCTCTCTCATTCATTACTAAATTATCATTCAACTTTGCAAATGAATTATCTTTAGCTTTTTTTTTTCAAATGAATTATTTCCTCTCTCATTTAATTTTGAGAATACTTTAGTCCTATTTTTCATTTGGGACTTTAGAACCTATTTTTAACAAGTTATTTGGGACCTATCTTGGGTCATTAAAGTATGGATCCTACCATTTTGATTGATATTTTAATAATAATTGTAGCTCCTTTTTGGATTTATAACATGTTTATTAAGTTTTAATTATTACTAACTACCATATTTTGGTATTCATCGTTGGTAATAATATTAAGTTTTGGGTCTATATCAGTACTAGACCATTTTTTCCATGTTATAATACACTTAGGCCATTGAGGTTTATGAGCCTAATTTGAGTGATTAAATGCTATAATTATTGTCTTGACCTGCTTTGAGACATTAAGGATTTAAGGAAAAACATATAGTTATGACAATTGAATATTATTTTATTATTTTCATAATAATTTAGATTGTGATGTTAAGAATCATATTTTGAAATTCTTTTGAATTTTCTTGTCCAAAACTTTTATGGTAATAATGATGATATTATGTAACATTTAATAATAATGATGATTTTCATTATTATAATTAAATGTTGTTCGGTTACAATTAAGAAAATTGATTATTCCGTTATTACTGATATGTAATAATTATTAGAATTAATATAGTAATAACGATTATTGATTTTTGAACCGATGGATCAATGTTTTGTGTCGTTACTATCATCATTTGGTTTCGATTTTGATAGTATGATTTGAAATCATAATTTTGAAACTATTTCATTCTTGATCCAAAACATATGTGTTAATAATGATATTGTTATCATTATTGTTTTTGGATTGTGATGCCCACTTTGATTAAGTATGAATATTGATTTTATATTCATATTTTTTGAGTTTGTTTTATGCATATAATTAAATTAAGTGCATACTATTATTGTTTAAATTATTCAATTTTGTGAGAATTTAATTCGTAAATGTCAACATATCATATGGTTTTATTATGGTTAGAATTTACAATTTTAAGCTAGTTCTCATAAAGTTTACTATATGCATTGGATCATTTTTGTATTGGGCCTACAAGTTAAAAATTTTCAATAATTGAAAAGTATGTGGTTATTATAAATTATTATTCAAATTTTATAATCCTTTAAGTTTTGGATTTATGTTGTTATTTGAATAATAATGTTATAGCTCATTTTAAATTGTTATTATGGTGTACAATTTATTTGGATATGAGCATATTGAATTTCACATATAATTGTTCACTAGCATATAACATTATATTTTCTAGTTATGTGAATTTAATTATGCCTTTGGAATTGCATAAGATAGGAATTATAATAATTCCTTGTTAAGATGAACTTTGTGTGTGGAATAATAAACGGTAGTGCATTATGTTCACCTGAGATTAAAAGTTTTTCCATAGGTGAACTATTAAAGATTTGGAAAGATTGCTCGTCAATTAGGCATTTAGTGTGAGAAAACATGAACCGGTGAAAAATTTTTCGGGAAGGGGCCAATGTGCTACTAGTTCCCTTGAAACATTTTCTCTGTATAAGGAGTTGGTTTTTTTAATGAGGCACTGTCCCAACCAACTTTCCTGGGAGTACACTTGAAATTGTTTATCATATTGTTGCATAATTGTTTTTAGGCTTTAAAGTTGATGCCTAAGATATTAAGAAAATTGTCTAGTGATCTTATAATTTTGATTAATTAAGTAATAGCCACGGTATCTTTGATTAATTGAAATTTTTTGAGATCACATACAGTCATAGACGTATTGATTGTGATTAATTATATGATATAATAAAATTTAGCCCACGGGCAATTTTTTATGTTTATATAATTAATTAGGGTAAAAACACCAAACTATGATCATAATTTAGCCCACAGGAAATTATGCATCGGAATATAGTTTTGGTGAGTTTTATCATTACAGATAGGAAGGTCAATTTATTTAACATATGGTTATAATATAAATAAATTGGCGTCTTCTATCATAAAGTTATGATATATGTGCATATTCAAAGGTATTTTTATGTGTACATTTTGTGGTATTAGTCTAGTTTCTTTTATGTGTATTTATTATGCATGGAAGAAATTTGGATTAATAGCTTGGTACATTAATATTCTTTTGTGTACAAATATCAAGTGATCAATACAATTTCATAACTAAAATTATTAAGTTATTTTGATCACTTTGTGACTAATTACATAAAGTATAATAAAATCTACCCACATGAATTTTATTATATTAATGTAAATAGTCAAGATAAAATATCAAATCATATTTCTTAATTTACCCACAAGGATTGAGAAAAGGAACATGGTTTGATAGTTTTATCATAAAGTTGTAAATGGATCTAATTGAATAAAAATTTAGCCCACAGGCAAGTTTTATGTCACTAGATTCTTCTATCCCTTTTGATAATAATTTTATCATATAATTTTAGTTGAGTCTAATTGAACAAAACTTTAGCCCACAGGCAAGTTTTGTATCACTAGATTCTTCTATTTGATTATCATAAAGTCTCAGTTGAGTCTAATTGAATAAATCTTTAGCCTACAGGCAAGTTTTATGTCACTGGATTCTTCTGTTTAAATTGATAATCAAGATAAAATTTTATCATACCAATTTTAGAATTTATAACATTAAGGCCAGTTATAATTCTGTCACATGGGTTGCATTGGCAACACATGTATTTTGTTAAACTCCAAAACTTTAGTAACTTGAAATTGTTATTGTATGTGGCTTACTTGGTTTTTCAGCCCAACCACAATAGAGCTTTTGAATTTGGACATGATATACTCTTGGATCCTTATGTTGGAATTATACATATCTAGCCAAATTTCAACTAAAGCAATTTAATTTGTTTAAATAGTTGAAAATTGTGTCTGTTACATGTACATATTTAGCATGTCCAACTATGGTGGGGAATTATAATCCTTGTTAGATTAGTTGGACTTGCTGATAATTAGTGGGTATACCATTTATGCTCAAGAATAAATTTAAGAGTGGGAGTAATGGTTTGATCAACGGGAGTGATCATTTAAAAGATCAATAAGATGCCCCATTTGATCAGTGGGAGTGATCATTTGGAAAAATCATTAAAGATGTCCCACTTCAAGATTGGTCCACTTCAAGGATAAGACACCTCGCCTTGTTATTATAAAATCAATAGTTCAATTTGTTGAACTACAAGTTGTGCAACATATTTCTGAAAATGTTGTAACAACATTAATAGTTTATTATTATTATTATTATTATAACAATGGCATTATGTTTATGGTGAACTATCACGAATTAGATTCTTTAGAATTTATTGGAGTCTTTCGTCTCATCAAATTGATCCTGGGCCATTAAGATTTAAAAGGTTCAAGATTCAATGTTGAGAGATATAAAGCATGCAAAGACTCATGATGTTGGTTCATATAGATGAATCTTGGGGATTTTTTGTTTTTATGATGATACAATATTTTTTTATTGTTTCATAACATTACATTAATAAATCCTCGTTATTGCTCTCGGACATAAAAGTTGGACTTCCTTTTTTATTTTGGAGATTATTTATAAGGTGTATGTTTAACATTTCATTTTGTGGGCTTAAGACTCATGAATTTGTTATCTAAGTCGTTGGAATATGGACTACTCATTTAGTATCTTTTGGCTAAGATTAATGAGAGTAGGAGTGGCAGACGTGTCAACTCTGAAAACTTAGTTGTCAGCGATAATATTAAAGATTATGAGTCAGTCATGTAATATATTAGCATTTTGCTAATAGTTTCGGATCCCTATTTAAGGCATGCTTATAAGAATTTTAGGGATCATACATGGCACATGGAACTTATTAAGTAACTATATTATACATACATTTATGTTGTCACTTCTATGTAATAATTTGGATGGTTTCTCCTATGGTTATGCGCATATTTATTTGAGAAACATCCCTAAGGTTGGACCAAGAATAAACGTAGGGTTTATTCATAAAGGACCTGAGTTGGGAATCAAAATGCATGTGATGCATAGATGGTATTACTCACACTTTAATTTATATGACATATCACTATGATTCATGTTTTTTTATCTTCAACAAAGGTTGTGCCAATACTTGCACCAAATGGAAAATTATAACATTTTCCATTAATATTGTACAATGAGGTTGTGCAAGTTAATTAGGCCAAATTTAGCCATTGCGGCAATAATTAGTTTTTGATAACGAATTATAATCAAGAATGAACATAAGGTTTATTCATTAAGTTTTATGCCACATAAGGTACTTAGAGAAGAAGTTATATTGTAATCATAAGTGGATACTACTCTGATTAAGAGGAACTATCTTTATGGTTCACACATGTATTTTTTTTTTTTTTTTTTGGCTTCTTTGAGTTAATACTTGC